TTACCCTGCCTCTCTTGGGGAGACTCGTGCCCATGTTGTGTGAACAACTCTGCACGAGCACCTAAGGAGGCTTACCTCCTTACCAGCCCGTGGTGGCGCGTACGAGTCTCTACTGAGATGTACGAAGGGATTGACAACCTGAAATCCCTTTGCGACCGTGCCGGGAAGACTTTCTCCGGCGGTCCTTCTGCGGCACAGGATGTGCCGCGTCGTACTGCTGAACCAGACCCAGTACGTCAACCATCAGTTGGGAGCGGGGCTCCCAAGAATCCCAGGACGGGGAATAACCGCGCCATCGGACGAGATAACTCGTCCGACGTCCGTTCACGTCGCGGTGGTTCAACAGCTACTCAACTAGATATCGCTGGCCACCACGAGAGTCCTCTAATGGAGGTGGAGGAGGAGGAAAGACGCTCTCCACACGATCATGTGGATCGGTGTGTTCCTGAGAGCTTCTTTGATCGCGTAATGCAAGCGTTACGCGACGATCTCGAACATGAGCGGAATAGGCGTCTCCAAATGGCGGACACTGCCTCGAAGCATCGAGCTGAGTTTGCCTTTGCTCAGCTCGAGAACGAGAGATCTCTGACATCTCTTCGTGACGAGCTAAGGGTAGCTCGTGGGATTGTTGATCGGTCTCGGGCTGAGATAACTGCTCTTCAGACCCTTGTTGATGCCCACCATCGGGAGCACAAGGCTCTCTGCGAGATGCTTGAGCGCAAGGGCGTTCTTCATCGGAAGAAGCAGCGTACTGATGGTACGGCTTAAGCCGACCAACGTAAAACGTGGGATGCGTTCGCATCTTACGTGGTAACTCGATCGTGTATGCATTGCCTAGGCGGTGCATTACACGAAATGGGCCAATGTACTTGGGTAGTAGTTTACTGCTACCCAAGTTAGTCACTACATGCTTTGGTAGATTAACCGTAGACAGTAGGACTAAGTCACCTTTATTAAATAAAAGAGTGTTTGCCCTTCCATTCTTGTCAGCGTTTTGCTTTTGCTTATCCACCGCTTCGTCGATGAAGTCTTGCACAAAACGGACTACCGTTTCACGAGCCAGTATGAACTCATCTGATGACTCGTTAGCTTCAGTGTGCTGTGAGCGCACTGCAGCAACATCAACCTTTTCTTCAGTGAGGGCTTCCGCACTCTCACTGGCATCATCTTCTTCAGTGAGGGCTTCCGCACTCTCACTGGCATCATCTTCTTTGATATCGATGTTATCGATATCGGCATCAAACGCAATGACTTCCTCGTCAGAGCGTGATGAGCGTGAACCAATTCGGTTTTTGCTCGCGCGAGTCCCTCCCCCCCTTAAACCAGAGTTACACTCTAGTAAGGTGGGTACACGCGGATGGCGTAAGCCATTCACGTAAAACGGTGTATGTGTCGTGGACGCATGCACCGAGTTCTTTTTGGCAAACTCTACCATTGGCAAAAACTCACTCCAACTCTTAAAGGAGTGTACGTATCCTCGAAGTATCTCTTCAAAGACACGATTGACACGTTCCGTCTGACCATCTGACTCTGGATGATCAGATGTTGACATCTTCAAGCGCGTTCCGAGTGATTTGAACACGGAACGCCAGAAATCAGCAGTGAATCGTGGATCTCTGTCTGATACGAGTTCACGGGGCAACCCATGAAGTCGGAAGTTGGTGTCGATAAAGACACATGCACAGCCACTTGCCGTGATTGACTCTAGTACAGCCACAAGGTGTACCATTTTGCTGAATCTGTCAACAAATACGAGAATTCCCGTATTCTTGCGTGCGTCTTTGGGTAACCCGAAGACAAAATCCATTGAGATGGATTCCCAGCTGTAAGCCGGAAACGGTAGAGGCTGTAAAGGTGCACGCAGTGAAGGGCTTGACTTCACTCGTTGACAGACTTCGCATGCGCGAACGTACTTGCGCACAAACTGATACTGGCGGGGCCAGTAAAAGTCTAGACTTACCGTGAGATATGTTTTCTCTCGGCCACGATGTCCTCCTATAGGAGCATCGTGATACTCGAACATGATCCGCAAACGCAGATCAGTATCATCTGGAATGACAACACGTGGTGTGTCACCAGAAACGGCTGTATAATACAGTAAACCGTTACGATTAGTGTATCGATCTGATGCAGATCGATACGCAGGCGACAATCGTTTCAACGATTCTCGGGATGGTTGGGAGAGATGTGTCAACAACTTCACAATCTCACCATCTTGGGCGAATGCCTGCCTCACATCATCATACAACGTTGTAGATGGGACTGAGGACGTCATAACCGCAACAGTGACTGTCTCACTGTTGGGTTTCACGACTGATTCAGAGTCGGGACGACGTGAGAGTGCATCAGCGACGACATTAAGTCGTCCTGGTTTGTACTCGACCGTAAAGTTGTATTCCGCAAAGAATGACAACCACCGCGCCATTTGTTGTGAAAGGTGCGGGCTGTTCACTGCCGTGCGTAATGACGCATGGTCAGTGTAAACAACGAAGGGTCTATCTCCTAATAGATAGACTCTGAACTTCGCGAGTGCGTACTTCATGGCAAGGAGTTCCTTGTCATGCACTGGATAGTTCCGCTCAGCTGGTTGCAGCTGACGCGACTGATAGCAGACGACGCGTTCAACGCCTTCAAGATCGTACTGCATTAATGCACAGCCGATTGCGAAATCGCTGGCATCACAGACCACATGAAATGGCCTGTCCTGATCGGCAATTGCTAGGACTGGGGATTGTATCAAGCTCTTCTTGGTACCCTCAAAGGAGCGCTGACATTCAACGTTCCATAACCACCTCTCGTTCTTTTTCAACAAATGAGAGAGATGTACGGTCATCTCGGCGTATTTGCGTGAATACTTGTGCAAATACGCCGCTAGCGCAAGGAATTTTCGAAGACCTTTGACCTCGACTGGCACAGTCCAGTCGGTGATCGCCTTGATCCTTTCGGGATCAGGACGTACACCGTTCTTACCAACGATGCACCCAAGAAGTGGTATTTCGCTTGCTGCAAATATACACTTCTTGAGGTTAGCATACAATTGATGCTTTCGCATGATTGTAAGAACCTGTCGGACGTGGTACCTGTGAACCTCAACGTCCGACTATCCATCCATAGCCCGACTATGAATGAATACGTCATCGAAATAACTTGTTGCGAATTCTCGTACTGGTCTCAACAAATGTAATACACATCTGTTGAACGTGGCAGGGGCATTGCTAAGCCCTTGTGGCATTACTAGCCATTCCCAGAGCATGCCGCTAGGCGTGCTAACTGCGGTATAGGGTATATCCCGTTCCCGCATAAGGATTTGATAGTAGCCATCCATCAAATCCATGGACGAAAAGATGGTACTCTTTGACATACCATCAATGATTACGTCCCTCCTCGGTATCGGCGTCTGAGCCGGTACCGTTGCAGCGTTCAACTTATTGAATGCATGCACTATCTGCCACCCTCCTGTTGCTTTTCGCACACAGAAGGTCGGAGAGCTATGTGGGGAAGTTGATTCCCTCACATGGCCGCAGCTAAACGATTGGCAAAGAACTTGTCGATCGCAAGTACTTGTTCACGAGGCAGTGGCCACTGCTTCATGACACAGTACTTCGAGCCTGGTTTAAGCTCGACCTCGTGTCGAATACCTTTATCCTTCGGTAATTCGCACGGAACAGTTTCAGGGAATACATCCTTGAATTCAACCAAATCTTCATAGAGAGGATTTTTCTTGAGCGATTCCCACGATTGGGAGTCATATCGCTCAACTCGTGTCTTTTCATCGAGGACGCTCTCGTCCATCGGTGAACTAATGAGAACTCTCTCGTTCTCAGTAAACATTGTTGCTGACCTTATGTCGGCTACACGCTCGTCGTCAGCGACGAGTACGCAGATCTGCTTGACTTTGCCACTACGCAGATCACGCAAGAACCTTTTATGTTCGAGCGTTGGCAACTAAGTGATCTCCGAAGTCAACTTCGGAGGCGCAATCAGATCAAGTGTATAAGCGCTTGTACTTGATCCATCATTGACTATGACATTCAATGTCTCTGTCATTTCCTGGGGACTTATTCCCTCAGGCTTCGAAGGACTTATTCCTTCGTCTTCCCGGGGACTTATTCCCGCGGGTTTCGGGGAACTTATTTCCGCCGTATTTGTAATCTTGGGACTTATTCCCTTTACTTCCTCTAGCTGGGGTTGCGCAACCACAGCGAGATCCTCTACGAAAGACTCTCCAGTCGATCTAGGATTATCGTTTCGCTTAACCTGAGCGATCGATTGTTTCTCTTCTAGATGTTCCCCGCTAGGGATACATCTTTGTCCCAGTCCACCCGACTTATTCGAGTGGTGGACCTTCGGCGCAGCCTGTGTTTCCTCACAGCCGCCGGAACTTTGCTCCGAAGTGTAACCGTTTGGTACACTAAGGTTTTGTGCAGTCGTACTAACGACCGTACCACAAGTGAGGCCATCGCACTCACTCGTAGTACATCCACACGCTTGTGGACGCTCCAAAACGTTCATCAGATGGCCATCTGATGAACAAGCGGCAGGCATCGTTACTGTTCGATGTTGCCAGTTTACCCGTGGTTCGTACCTTCTGAGCCACGGTATTCCAAGGATGACATCAAATTTGTCATCCAAATCCAATACGATAAAGTCATCGTCGTATTGGGTATCTTCTAGCGTATAGTGAATCTTCACTATACGCTTCATGACGGTTACGGATGCGCCTGTCGCAAGACGTACCGTCATCCTCGTAGGAGGTGTGTCACATTCACTGAATTTAAAGTGACCATCTTCTAGCGATTGGCGTCGCACAAAATTGTTGGACGCCCCACAATCGACTAGAGCTCGAAGGGACAACTTATTCGTCACTTCGAGTTTCAAGGTAATGAGTGAGATCTCATTACCTAGAGCAGCAACGCACAATGTCTGTGTGTTGGGAGCAACCTTCATCAAGAGGCCTACAAATTCTCTTGACGTTGCTGGATCAGTAGGGTGCTCCGCACCTACTGATCCTGTCCGTTTTTTGACGGTCCATCCCGTTGTTGCGTCTTTGCACCAACTGCGGACCCTCGTCCCTGCCCCTTTCTCATGGGTGGACGGTCACTACGCCCAGTGTCGCGAGACACTGGACGAGGGGCACTACACTCGTAAGCGTAGTGTCCTGTCTTTTGACATCTGTTGCATCTCTGCAACTTCTTGTAGCCTGTAGAGCGAGCCTTCTCGCTCTCTACATAACAGAGTTCCATCGGCTCTGGACCTCCGTTGTCATATCGTCTCGGTTGACGATATGATGTCGAGCTGGCGCGAGCCTGTCTCAGACTGAAGTCTTCCTGCTCCGCAATTGAAATGGCTTGTTCTAGTGAATCTAGTTCAAGCCGGAACAGGTGAGTCTTGACGGGACCATCCGCAAGACCCTGCATGAACACCGAAACCAACGCGTGTTCATCAACCGGATTGGAACTTATTCAACTCGTGAGATGTCATATATGTTGTACGTAAGCGTGCACATCACGCTTACCTTGTTTGAGCTTCAAGAGTTCGGTTCGAGCTCTGAACTCAGCTCTAGGCGGTTCAAACGTTTGTCTGAGCCGCGACTTGAAGACTTCCAACGACCCAAACGCATATGGGTCGTGCAACTTGAGCCCCAGTACCCAAGTCTTGGCACGTCCTGCCAGATTTGACTGGGCAAATGCAACTTGCATATCCCCGTCGTCGATGCGACGCGCCCTTATGGCGTCATCCAATTCGACGAACCATCTCAAGAGGGAGTCTTCTTCGACCCCCCTATACTTTGAGATGTCAATCTTCAAAGTCTCGGGTCGACGCGAGTGCATCGACCCGCCAGCAGCAGCCTGCTGCTGTCTCAACAGTTCAAACTGTTGAAAACCCTGTTCTCTCAACAACTCTGCTTGTTGAGAACCTTGTTGGTGAAGCAAGGCTACTTTCTCGCAGTTCAGCGTCAAGTTCATTTTGAATGAACTTGGCGATAGTAGCATGTTGGGCATCTCTATTAAGAGCCTCTAGCATGACGCTAACAGCATGGATGCCCATAGTCGAACCCATTCGTTCAACCGCATCCCATTCGACATCGCTCAAATGGGAGTAGCCGTCACGCGTAGCGTGAAAGCTTTGGTCATCTTCATCATCCAACATATTCATGTTGGATGTGAACGCGGTCCTTGGACGGACTACGAAGTGCTACCAGGTGTAACGGGGCACCCTGAAGCTTGTACTGGTGACAGTACAAGCTACTTATTCTGATGACAGAATAAGGCGGTGCCTCGTAACTTCACGTACACTCGTACGTGCAAAGGAAGACGGTAAGAAGAAGCGAGTACTTGGTTAAAGTAAAAAGTAGAACTGTATTTAGTATAGTTAATGTCTGCAATAAATCACGATTTATCTTCATCTAACTATGTCTAAATACAAATGTGTAAATCAGCTATCTGCTCACCACTCATTGCGTGCGTCTGTCGTGGCGCGTCTTCGTTGGTTGATATAATGGCCTATATCAACCAATTAGGAACAACTCGTAAGTGCTACAGAACATTTGTACTTATGACAATATTCCGAGAATAAAACTCTTATAGTTATATTCTATTAACAATTTCTTATAAATTGTTATGTAACGATTCACCCCGTTACAATCAGGGGCAATCGTCAGGGAAGCCTTCGAGTCGAGACATTTTGAAAGACAGTACTAAGGGTGAGCCTAGTTACAAGACATAAATCCTTGTCACGAAGCGATGCGTCGAGTGAATAACTATGTGTATTCCATACAACTATGCTGTCAAGGATCACTGTGTCAGACTTGTGTCAATGAGACCAGCGTTATAACGGGGCACCCTGAAGCTTGTACTGGTGACAGTACAAGCTACTTATTCTGATGACAGAATAAGGCGGTGCCTCGTAACTTCACGTACACTCGTACGTGCAGAGGAAGACGGTAAGAAGAAGCGAGTACTTGGTTAGAGTAAAAAGTAGAACTGTATTTATAATAGTTAATGTCTGCAATAAATCACGATTTATCTTCATCTAACTATGTCTAAATACAAATGTGTAAATCAGTTATCTGCTCACCACTCATTGCGTGCGTCTGTCGTGGCGCGTCTTCGTTGGTTGATATAATGGCCTATATCAACCAATTAGGGACTACTTGGAAGTGCTACAGAATATTGTCCTTATGACAATATTCTGAGAATATAACTCTTATAGTTATATTCTATTAACAATTTCTTATAAATTGTTATGTAACGAGTCACCCCGTTACATCACCCCCCCCTTAACCATCAGTCACTTTAGTGACTGATTGACTAAATGGATACTCGTCCCAAATCATTTGGGACGGGGTTTGCACTTGTTGGTCCGCGTCCACTTTCCAACATCTCATCGCATGGTTAACAAGCCCATGCGATGCGCGAGCAAGACCGCCGAGAGCGCGTCTGCACGTCTCTGTGCGGACGCCGAAGCAGAAACTACAGCAACTGATATCCCATCGGTTGCTGAATCGACTCAGCCTGTATCACCTGGTGATGCAGGCGCTGGTCATGAAGACACTCGTGTCTTCACAGAGTACGAGCTCGGTGTCTCGTACTCTCCTGATACGGATGACGGATCCGTATCGACGGCAATTGAATCCAAGCCGCCTGCCAAGCGTGGCATGGACGATGCTTTGCGTCGCAGCATCTTTGGTTCATCTGATGATTCAGATGAACCATCGCCGAAGCGAAGGCGCTCGAGGTCGCGAGACTCGGGCGCTAATAGTGGTGTCGTTTCTCCAATGGACACCACTTCACAGCGAGGTGCCAGTACTTCTGTCGGCACGTCGCAGGAAGAGCGGGACCGCAATGTGTTGCGTCTCGCTCCAGAAAAGAAGGCATGGATGCCTCCTAAATCTGTCATGGATCACTTGTCGGCGACGACGAGTGATCGTTATCGAACACGATTGTTCGATTCGTCGAGGATTCATCACCTTGACCCCAGCGCGAAAGACTATCGCGCTGAACATGAGTTCTTCATCGATGCTTTCTTCAGACATCGATGGTACAGTGGGAATCACAAACGTGATGGTCCCTCACTACTTCAGGCGTGGAACGCCTACATCCATAATCTCGAGGATGTAGGTCGTGACGCTTGGAACGACAAACTTATCAAAGCTCGTGATAAGTTTGAAAAGCGAACCCCGACAGGTGCACGCTACAAGCTGCATCGTCTGTCAAGGGGGAAAGGATTACCCTGCCTCTCTTGTGGAGACTCGTGCCCATGTTGTGTGAACAACTCTGCACGAGCACCTAAGGAGGCTTACCTCCTTACCAGCCCGTGGTGGCGCGTACGAGTCTCTACTGAGATGTACGAAGGGATTGACAACCTGAAATCCCTTTGCGACCGTGCCGGGAAGACTTTCTCCGGCGGTCCTTCTGCGGCACAGGATGTGCCGCGTCGTACTGCTCAACCAGACCCAGTACGTCGATCATCAGTTGGGAGCGGGGCTCCCAAGAATCCCAGGACGGGGGATAGCCGCGCCATCGGACGAGATAACTCGTCCGACGTCCGTTCACGTCGCGGTGGTTCAACAGCTGCTCAACTAGATAGCGCTGGCCACCGCGAGAGTCCTCTAATGGAGGTGGAGGAGGAGGAAAGACGCTCTCCACGCGATCATGGGGATCGGTGTGTTCCTGAGAGCTTCTTTGATCGCGTAACGCAAGGGTTACGCGACGATCTCGAACATGAGCGGAATAGGCGTCTCCAAATGGCGGACACTGCCTCGAAGCATCGAGCTGAGTTTGCCTTTGCTCAGCTCGAGAACGAGAGATCTCTGACATCTCTTCGTGACGAGCTAAGGGTAGCTCGTGGGATTGTTGATCGGTCTCGGGCTGAGATAACTGCTCTTCAGACCCTTGTTGATGCCCACCATCGGGAGCACAAGGCTCTCTGCGAGATGCTTGAGCGCAAGGGTGTTCTTCATCGGAAGAAGCAGCGTACTGATGGTACGGCTTAAGCCGACCAACGTAAAACGTGGGATGCGTTCGCATCTTACGTGGTAACTCGATCGTGTATGCATTGCCTAGGCGGTGCATTACACGAAATGGGCCAATGTACTTGGGTAGTAGTTTACTGCTACCCAAGTTAGTCACTACATGCTTTGGTAGATTAACCGTAGACAGTAGGACTAAGTCACCTTTATTAAATAAAAGAGTGTTTGCCCTTCCATTCTTGTCAGCGTTTTGCTTTTGCTTATCCACCGCTTCGTCGATGAAGTCTTGCACAAAACGGACTACCGTTTCACGAGCCAGTATGAACTCATCTGATGACTCGTTAGCTCCAGTGCGCTGTAAGTGCACTGCAGCAACATCAACCTTTTCTTCAGTGAGGGCTTCCGCACTCTCACTGGCATCATCTTCTTTGATATCGATGTTATCGATATCGGCATCAAACGCAATGACCTATTCGTCAGAGCGTGATGAGCGTAAACCAATTCGGTTTTTGCTCGCGCGAGTCCCTCCCCCCCTTAAACCAGAGTTACACTCTAGTAAGGTGGGTACACGCGGATGGCGTAAGCCATTCACGTAAAACGGCGTATGTGTCGTGGACGCATGCACCGAGTTCTTTTTGGCAAACTCTACCTTGGGCAAAAACTCACTCCAACTCTTAAAGGAGTGTACGTATCCTCGAAGTATCTCTTCGAGGACACGATTGACACGTTTCGTCTGACCATCTGACTCTGGATGATCAGATGTCGACATCTTCAAGCGCGTTCCGAGTGATTTGAACACGGAACGCCAGAAATCAGCAGTGAATCGTGGATCTCTGTCTGATACGAGTTCACGGGGCAACCCATGAAGTCGGAAGTTGGTGTCGATAAAGACACATGCACAGCCACTTGCCGTGATTGACTCTAGTACAGCCACAAGGTGTACCATTTTGCTGAATCTGTCAGCAAATACGAGAATTCCCGTATTCTTGCGTGCGTCTTTGGGTAACCCGAAGACAAAATCCATTGAGATGGATTCCCAGCACTCAGCCGGAACCGGTAGAGGCTGTAAAGGTGCACGCAGTGAAGGACTTGACTTCACTCGTTGGCAGACTTCGCATGCGCGAACATACTTTCGCACAAACTGATACTGGCGGGGCCAGTAAAAGTCTCGACTTACCGTGAGATATGTTTTCTCTCGGCCACGATGTCCTCCTATAGGAGCATCGTGATACTCGAACATGATCCGCAAACGCAGATCAGTATCATCTGGAATGACAACACGTGGTGTGTCACCAGAAACGGCTGTATAATACAGTAAACCGTTACGAGTAGTGTATCGATCTGATGCAGATCGATACGCAGACGACAATCGTTTCAACGATTCTCGAGATGGTTGGGAGAGATGTGACAACAACTTCACTATCTCACCATCTTGGGCGTATGCCCGCCTCACATCATCATACAACGTTGTAGATGGAACTGAGGACGTCATAACCGCAACAGTGACTGTCTCACTGTTGGGTTTCGCGACTGTTTCAAAGTCGGGACGACGTGAGAGTGCATCAGCGACGACATTAAGTCGTCCTGGTTTGTACTCGACCGTAAAGTTGTATTCTGCAAAGAATGACAACCACCGCGCCATTCGTTGTGAAAGGTGCGGGCTGTTCACTGCCGTGCGTAAGGACGCATGGTCAGTGTAAACAACGAAGGGTCTATCTCCTAATAGATAGACTCTGAACTTCGCGAGTGCATACTTCATGGCAAGGAGTTCCTTGTCATGCACTGGATAGTTCCGCTCAGCTGGTTGCAGCTGACGCGACTGATAGCAGACGACGCGTTCAACGCCTTCAAGGTCGTACTGCATTAATGCACAGCCGATTGCGAAATCGCTGGCATCACAGACCACATGAAATGGCCTGTCCTGATCGGCTATTGCTAGGACTGGGGATTGTATCAAGCTCTGCTTGATACCCTCAAAGGAGCGTTGACATTCAGCGTTCCATAACCACCTCTCGTTCTTTTTCAACAAACGAGAGAGGTGTACAGTCATCTCGGCGTAATTGCGTGAATACTTATGCAAATACGCCGCTAGCCCAAGGAATTTTCGAAGACCTTTGACATCGACCGGCACGGGCCAGTCGGTGATCGCCTTGATCTTTTCGGGATCAGGACGTACACCGTTCTTACCAACGATGCACCCAAGAAGTGGTATTTCGCTTGCTGCAAATATACACTTCTTGAGGTTTGCATACAATTGATGCTTTCGCATGATTGTAAGAACTTGTCGGACGTGGTACTTGTGAACCTCAACGTCCGACTTTCCATCCATAGCTCGACTATGGATGAATACGTCATCGAAATAACTCGGCGCGAATTCTCGTACTGGCCTCAACAGATGTGATACACACCTGTTGAACGTGGCAGGGGCATTACTGAGCCCTTGTGGCATTACTAGCCATTCCCAGAGCATGCCGCTAGGCGTGCTAACTGCGGTATAGGGTATATCCCGTTCCCGCATTAGGATTTGATAGAAGCCATCCATCAAATCCATGGACGAAAAGATGGTACTCTTTGACATACCATCAATGATTACGTCCCTCCTCGGTATCGGCGTCTGAGCCGGTACCGTTGCAGCGTTCAACTTATTGAATGCATGCACTATCTGCCACCCTCCTGTTGCTTTTCGCACACAGAAGGTCGGAGAGCTATGTGGGGAAGTTGATTCCCTCACATGGCCGCAGCTAAACGATTGGCAAAGAACTTGTCGATCGCAAGTACTTGTTCACGAGGCAGTGGCCACTGCTTCATGACACAGTACTTCGAGCCTGGTTTAAGCTCGACCTCGTGTCGAATACCTTTATCCTTCGGTAATTCGCACGGAACAGTTTCAGGGAATACATCCTTGAATTCAACCAAATCTTCATAGAGAGGATTTTCCTTGAGCGATTCCCATGATTGGGACTCATATCGCTCAATTCGTGTCTTTTCATCTAGGACACTCTCGTCCATAGATGAACTACTGAGAACTCTCTCGTTCTCAGTAAACACTGTTGCTGACCTTATGTCGGTTACATACTCGTCTTCAGCGACGAGTATGCAGATCTGCTTGACTTTGCCACTACGCAGATCACGCAAGAATCTTTTATGTTCGAGCGTTGGCAACTGAGTGATCTCCGAAGTTAACTTCGGAGGCGCAATCAGATCAAGTGTATAAGCGCCTACACATGATCCGTTATTGACTATGACATTCAATGTCTCTGTCATTTCCTGGGGACTTATTCCCTCAGGCTTCGAAGGACTTATTCCTTCGTCTTCCCGGGGACTTATTCCCGCGGGTTTCGGGGAACTTATTTCCGCCGTATTTGTAATCTTGGGACTTATTCCCTTTACTTCCTCTAGCTGGGGTTGCGCAACCACAGCGAGATCCTCTACGAAAGACTCTCCAGTCGATCTAGGATTATCGTTTCGCTTAACCTGAGCGATCGATTGTTTCTCTTCTAGATGTTCCCCGCTAGGGATACATCTTTGTCCCAGTCCACCCGACTTATTCGAGTGGTGGACCTTCGGCGCAGCCTGTGTTTCCTCACAGCCGCCGGAACTTTGCTCCGAAGTGTAACCGTTTGGTACACTAAGGTTTTGTGCAGTCGTACTAACGACCGTACCACAAGTGAGGCCATCGCACTCACTCGTAGTACATCCACACGCTTGTGGACGCTCCAAAACGTTCATCAGATGGCCATCTGATGAACAAGCGGCAGGCATCGTTACTGTCCGATGTTGCCAGTTTACCCGTGGTTCGTACCTTCTGAGCCACGGTATTCCAAGGATGACATCAAATTTGTCATCCAAATCCAATACGATAAAGTCATCGTCGTATTGGGTATCTTCTAGCGTATAGTGAATCTTCACTATACGCTTCATGACGGTTACGGATGCGCCTGTCGCAAGACGTACCGTCATCCTCGTAGGAGGTGTGTCACATTCACTGAATTTAAAGTGACCATCTTCTAGCGATTGGCGTCGCACAAAATTGTTGGACGCCCCACAATCGACTAGAGCTCGAAGGGACAACTTATTCGTCACTTCGAGTTTCAAGGTAATGAGTGAGATCTCATTACCTAGAGCAGCAACGCACAATGTCTGTGTGTTGGGAGCAACCTTCATCAAGAGGCCTACAAATTCTCTTGACGTTGCTGGATCAGTAGGGTGCTCCGCACCTACTGATCCTGTCCGTTTTTTGACGGTCCATCCCGTTGTTGCGTCTTTGCACCAACTGCGGACCCTCGTCCCTGCCCCTTTCTCATGGGTGGACGGTCACTACGCCCAGTGTCGCGAGACACTGGACGAGGGGCACTACACTCGTAAGCGTAGTGTCCTGTCTTTTGACATCTGTTGCATCTCTGCAACTTCTTGTAGCCTGTAGAGCGAGCCTTCTCGCTCTCTACATAACAGAGTTCCATCGGCTCTGGACCTCCGTTGTCATATCGTCTCGGTTGACGATATGATGTCGAGCTGGCGCGAGCCTGTCTCAGACTGAAGTCTTCCTGCTCCGCAATTGAAATGGCTTGTTCTAGTGAATCTAGTTCAAGCCGGAACAGGTGAGTCTTGACGGGACCATCCGCAAGACCCTGCATGAACACCGAAACCAACGCGTGTTCATCAACCGGATTGGAACTTATTCAACTCGTGAGATGTCATATATGTTGTGCGTAAGCGTGCACATCACGCTTACCTTGTTTGAGCTTCAAGAGTTCGGTTCGAGCTCTGAACTCAGCTCTAGGCGGTTCAAACGTTTGTCTGAGCCGCGACTTGAAGACTTCCAACGACCCAAACGCATATGGGTCGTGCAACTTGAGCCCCAGTGCCCAAGTCTTGGCACGTCCTGCCAGATTTGACTGGGCAAATGCAACTTGCATATCCCCGTCGTCGATGCGACGCGCCCTTATGGCGTCATCCAATTCGACGAACCATCTCAAGAGGGAGTCTTCTTCGACCCCCCTATACTTTGAGATGTCAATCTTCAAAGTCTCGGGTCGACGCGAGTGCATCGACCCGCCAGCAGCAGCCTGCTGCTGTCTCAACAGTTCAAACTGTTGAAAACCCTGTTCTCTCAACAACTCTGCTTGTTGAGAACCTTGTTGGTGAAGCAAGGCTACTTTCTCGCGTTCAGCGTCAAGTTCATTTTGAATGAACTTGGCGATAGTAGCATGTTGGGCATCTCTATTAAGAGCCTCTAGCATGACGCTAACAGCATGGATGCCCATAGTCGAACCCATTCGTTCAACCGCATCCCATTCGACATCGCTCAAATGGGAGTAGCCGTCACGCGTAGCGTGAAAGCTTTGGTCATCTTCATCATCCAACATATTCATGTTGGATGTGAACGCGGTCCTTGGACGGACTACGAAGTGCTACCAGGTGTAACGGGGCACCCTGAAGCTTGTACTGGTGACAGTACAAGCTACTTATTCTGATGACAGAATAAGGCGGTGCCTCGTAACTTCACGTACACTCGTACGTGCAAAGGAAGACGGTAAGAAGAAGCGAGTACTTGGTTAAAGTAAAAAGTAGAACTGTATTTAGTATAGTTAATGTCTGCAATAAATCACGATTTATCTTCATCTAACTATGTCTAAATACAAATGTGTAAATCAGCTATCTGCTCACCACTCATTGCGTGCGTCTGTCGTGGCGCGTCTTCGTTGGTTGATATAATGGCCTATATCAACCAATTAGGAACAACTCGTAAGTGCTACAGAACATTTGTACTTATGACAATATTCCGAGAATAAAACTCTTATAGTTATATTCTATTAACAATTTCTTATAAATTGTTATGTAACGATTCACCCCGTTACAATCAGGGGCAATCGTCAGGGAAGCCTTCGAGTCGAGACATTTTGAAAGACAGTACTAAGGGTGAGCCTAGTTACAAGACATAAATCCTTGTCACGAAGCGATGCGTCGAGTGAATAACTATGTGTATTCCATACAACTATGCTGTCAAGGATCACTGTGTCAGACTTGTGTCAATGAGACCAGCGTTGTAACGGGGCACCCTGAAGCTTGTACTGGTGACAGTACAAGCTACTTATTCTGATAACAGAATAAGGCGGTGCCTCGTAACTTCACGTACACTCGTACGTGCAGAGGAAGACGGTAAGAAGAAGCGAGTACTTGGTTAGAGTAAAAAGTAGAACTGTATTTATAATAGTTAATGTCTGCAATAAATCACTATTTATCTTCATCTAACTATGTCTAAATACAAATGTGTAAATCAGTTATCTGCTCACCACTCATTGCGTACGTCTGTCGTGGCGCGTCTTCGTTGGTTGATATAATGGCCTATATCAACCAATTAGGGACTACTTGGAAGTGCTACAGAATATTGTCCTTATGACAATATTCTGAGAATATAACTCTTATAGTTATATTCTATTAACAATTTCTTATAAATTGTTATGTAACGATTCACCCCGTTACAAGCGTTTAATGTCAAGAGCGCCGATGTAACGGGGTGAATCGTTACATAACAATTTATAAGAAATTGTTAATAGAATATAACTATTAGAGTTTTATTCTCAGAATATTGTCGTAAAGACAAATGTTCTGTAGCACTTACGAGTTGTTCCTAATTGGTTGATGTAGGCCATTATATCAACCAACGAAGACGCGCCACGACAGACGCACGCAATGAGTGGTGAGCAGATAGCTGATTTACACATTTGTATCCAGACATAGTTAGATGAGGATAAATAGTGATTTATTAACAGACATTAACTATTATAAATACAGCTCTACTAATTGCTTTAACCAAGTACACGCTTCTTCTTACCGTCTTCCTCTGCACGTACGAGTGTACGTGAAGTTACGAGGCACCGCCTTATTCTGTCATCAGAATAAGTAGCTTGTACTGTCACCAGTACAAGCTTCAGGGTGCCCCGTTACAGCCGAGCCCTTTGCTGCACTAAGCTTGGACACAAGGTTTGTTAGGCGTGACCATGGATATGATCACGCTTTCGTTACCTTGCGGAAGAGGAAAAACGCACACAATCGGGGGTAGAGGCCTGCTCACGTTCAACAACCAGATGTCGCCTGTGCCGTAAGAACAATCCCTATCCATTGCTTTCTCTCAGTGCGAACAAGTGTCTGTTACTTTATCAGGAAGACTTTTCCATCAAGTTTCTTCATCGTCTACCGTCGGGCGAAACACCAGCAAGTGACTGAGAGCAAGCGACATTGATATTTTCACAATGCCATCGAATCATGAGGACCCTAATGATATAGCTTTGCACGGTACAATGCCGTTCTCTATCAGCTCAGTCTCTTACGCTTGATGCATCCGCGTTTGATCAGGAAGATCGTACGAGAAAGCTCTGTGTTCTAGTAGGTCAGTTCACGTGGCGATACACAAATCCATGATGAGTCGCGTAATTTGACTAGGCACCATAGAGCCATGGCCTGGCTAGGAGGGATTGCAGCGCAGCTTTGGCATCGCTGTATCATATCGCGTGATGTGCAAAGTTTACGGTACGATGTTTGCAGACCCGCGTCGTCTTTTTGCAGCTATTTTCTGGATACGTAGAGCTTGGGCACACGAGCGGCTGCTGAGGGCTGCGATGCCGACTAACTTGCTGTGGTTAAATGCAGAGGACCACGAAGAATTTCGTGGTGGCGATCGAATGGCAGACGGAGCGCGAGAGTGGGAGTTTGTTGCTGAACACGCAGGCAAAGTCGTCTGCTGCTCTTATATACTTGGATGCACCGATGTGTACGCACAATTTGATCGCGAGACTCATGCATGTGAGAAAGAATCCTGTCGAATAAACGGCTGTGTGAACGATTGATCTCTCAGCTTACACACGGCAGAAGATACTACAAGTTGTAAAGCTGGATGAGGTCATTCCTTGTCGAACGATTGCTTGTGTAACGCATTGCCTATGCGCTTGCTTGCTGTGCTTTTGCTCGCTTGGAGTCGAAACGCTTGCTACGTCCACGTCAAACTGGATGCACTGGTAAGGAAGGCACTTGAACTCTTCTGTTCGTCACATATCCCGCTAATATATTTGTATCGTAGCAGTCTAGAGGTCAGTTCGACCGCGAGTAATCTGCTTGACAGTGGAAATAGCTGCTACGTTCCGCATGGATCTCATTTTTTGCCCACATTTAACAGTAGACGCTTGTAGACGACATGCGAAGGAGGCAGTTGCAAAGGAGGCAGTTGATGTGATGGAACGATACACAGGTGGAATGCCTCACAAAGGAGTCTCTGGTCCACAACTACCGTCGAGCAGCACGCAGTTGCTACGTCTCTTCTGCACTGTCCAACATACCCTCCCCCGTGGTAACACGGTCGCTACCTACCACATGCCGGGGCGACTGTGAAGTGCTGTTACCGTCCCTCGAAAAGCGCTTCATCGTCGTCACTTCGTACTCTCGTGGTGGAGGAAGCAGTGCTATCCATGGCTACCACAATGCATCGCGTCGTCTCTGCGTGACGTACTGACTTGACAGTGATCAGAACACCAAACAAGTCGACGTCTTCCTCGAAACAACTACTGAAACGACCTCTTGAACAACTTCTAGGACTGAAACAAACTACTCTGCCTGGACATCATTATCGTTGACCTGATCATGGGAGCTTTGGTACCTGTAAGGTCCCGCTCATCCTTCGTCTCATCATTACTTGCACCCGCCAGGACAGATCCCACCTCCATCGTGGACAAAAGCACTGGATGAGTGAGTGAGTACCAGAGGGAGAGGGGGGTGGGGGGTGGGGTCTTCGTTGCTGAGTCGTCTCCTAAAGCCGCCACAGCAACACGGTCGGTCAAAGCCTAAGACACCAATAGAGTGCTCCCTACAATATTACTACGCTGACATCGACTTGTTCTTATCGAATGCCTTCGTGCCTATCGATCGCTTCACACGTGTCGTTCATTCTCGCAGCGATGGCTGGAACCGAATTCGTCCCACTACTTTACAGCCGGACGTTCCAGCGCTGGCGTCGTTTTTTTTTTTTCGGCCGACGGAGCGCTCGCCGTTCGGAGCTGAGCCACAAACTCAACGATCGAATCAGAAATGTCCTGTTGTCGTCTACCGCTTGGGTGTCCGTCCCTTTGTAACCCTCGACTATCCCGACACGCAGAGACACACTGTGTCAAAGCGACTAGCACCTGCGAAACCCGCACGACGAGGCTCAGCGTTACAACCTGCACGTTATCTCGCTATCTCGCCTGCTTTCGGTCGTGTGGTTGCCGTATGTTCGCTCCTTTATCGGCTCCGATGGCTCGCCCCCGGGAGTCGAGTAAACCGAAACGGCACTTCCCAACTTGCGTCCTTACCAACCTCTTAACTTGCGTCCTTACCAACCTCCCTGCCAACCCACGACGTACCCGCCCGACTGTTCGTCCATCGCTTCCTCCTGTTAAAATAAAATGCCCCGCTATCGGTCTCTAGTCCTCCCCTTAAGCTTCGTCTCTGCTGTTTTCACCCCCACGCAAGGGCACCACTTGCCGACGACAATCGACATCTTGTCCTACAATGACGTCTACGAAATGCTGCAGGATACCGTCGAGGGACTCAAGCTCGGTGGCCCGTCCCGGGTCGTCCCTATCGCCAAAGCTATGCGGCAAACAAATCCCAATAGCCTCGTGCTCTTTGCTGGGGATACCGTCTCCCCGTCGCTCTGGTCCACGCAGTTCAATGGGCAGCACATGGTGCAGGCCCACAATGCCATCGGACTCGACTTTGCGTCACTGGGGAACCACGAATTCGACTTTGGTCTTGAGAACTTTTTCAATGTCACGGGAGCTTCTACGTTCCCGTGGCTGAACGCCAATTGCTACGAACGGACGACGAACCAGTTGCTCCGGGGGACCGTGCCTTATGCCATCAAGCACCTCACGGACGCTCATAACGGAGACCTTGTGGTCGGTATCTTTGGTGTCATGTACGACATGAAGGACACGAGCAAAAGACTGTATTGGGAAGACCCGATCGAAGCTGCTCGAAAACAGGTCGCGACCTTGCAAGCAAAGCGCGTGGACTTTATCATTGCGTTAACGCACCAAGATTTGGTTGACGACAATCGCTTCTCGAAGGACGTAGCGGGAGTTGACTTGATCATTGGTGGTCATGACCACACGTCAATGCTGCAGACGAACTACGGCACACCGTACATCAAAGCGGACTTTGACTTTCGATCGATCTGGAAGACGCACGTGAAGTATTATGCTGCTGAAGCAGGTACCGGTCGGAAGACCGTCATGACGCACGAGGTTGTTCCGATTGTCGAGAGCTTACCAACGGACAAGGCGCTGGATGCCGTCATTGCCAAGTACCGGACGCAGATGGAAGCTCTGGAACAGCAAGTGATCGGAACTCTATGCGAAGACCTGGACCTTACTCAAGAGGCGGTCCGCACACGAGACAGCAAGATCGGGTACCTCTTTGCTGACGCTGCTCGACAGTTTTACGGCACTGGTTCAGCTGACATTGCCGTGATGAACGGAGGTGGCATTCGAGGTGATAAGGTCGTTCCTGCTGGGAATTTGTCACTTGGTGAGGTGTTGTCGTGGTCACCGTTTGGCAACACTTTGATGACCATTCAGACGAATGGTGCATCACTTAAACTGTTCCTCAACCGTGAGATGGTTGGAAGTTGTGGGGCGAATAATGCCTTACAACAGAATGGGTTCTACGTGCACCCCTCAGGCTTCAAGTACACCTACAAGTGCACGGGCGAAAGGGTTGGCACCGTCTCGAGCTTGACGTGGCACAACCACTTGACAAATCGAGGCGAGATCCAAGACACGGACGTGCTCGTCGTGGCGATCAGCAACTTCCTGTACACGTCCGAGTTTATTGTGATCAAAGGTATCAATGCTATCGTACGGACCAGCGAAGCTGAAGCCGAGCGCATGGACTCGGCTCTGGAGGCGTATGTCACGAAATTCAGCAGCGGTAATGTGTGTATCCGGTCGATGGAACAGCGCTCTGCCGTCTCCTTCTAAGTAAGCTCTAGGAGCACAGAGGTAGCACCTAATCATATCATATAACAAGCAGCTTTGACGTATTTTCTGGTATGAACGACAGCAACTGGTCAATAGAAAAGCTGAAGTGACTTTGTACCGCATGCCACCGATTCTCGTATCATAAGTATAGTACCATATCATGCGAGGTGCCTTCACATACAGTCTGTATTGGCTCCTGTTCTTCCAGTGCTGCTTCCTCTTACGCCGGTTCTCTACTGCAGACGGGAACTGAAGATTGTGGCACGTGAAGATGCAGCATCGATCCGGATAAAAAGTTGCAGCAAGTCGCTCCTTGTCGGATGCTGCCAGGTCCACGCAATCACCGTGATGAGCACGGTACGTAATGAACGAGACGGTGGCTCAGTTTTTTCTCTGGTGCTGACCGGGGAGGGGTGATGACTGGCTGTGCATCATGGTGCAAGAATTTGTATTACGCAACATGCAAAAAGGCCGTCCAGCGGGTTGAAATGATGCAAGTGGCTTGAAATCTCAAGTGAATCACGTTAGTTTACAGGACTTTCGACATGTGCTCAGGCTGTGTCATCGACCGTTGATGTCATGTTCACTACATCCCAGACATGTGGATATATTACCATAATTCAATGAAGGAATTTTGCCGACGAATAGCGAATGTTACGTATTTAACCGATCACACACCTTTTTTGGCGACAATAAAAATTGAGAGCGCGACTGGTTTTGGGCACTTCCGGTCGAGTCGTGGTCAAAAAAAGGTGGTCAATTCTGGCCTGGGGCCTTGCCACCAGTACCGATAAATTCTGGTATCTACCTCGGTATATTTTCCTGTCCACGCTATCTCAGTACTCCTTACCCGCCAATGTTTGCCAAAGACAGCAGTCCACGATGGCTTGCCACGTGGTGATTGGCAGCAATATAGCGATGACGTCAACACGATTTATCATGCTGAATACATTCGCTTGAGCTTTGGTTACGCGTCAAGTATACTCAAAAGTCGGGGATGTTTTCTGAGTGAGTGAGTATACCAATCTGATTCCAGCACATACCCGCCACCTGCTTTCAGCGTTTTCCCCAATTACTGCGTGACTATACCCTTGCAAAGTCGGGCCACTGCTGCTGTATACGCCTGCATACGCCTTTGCCAACTTATCACTTCTTGACCGGGTTGGCGTCAAAGGTCTTGGGTAGAATACCGTCGCTGATACCACGCGTCACAATGTCCTGGAACATCGCAGTAGCATTGGGAATATCCAGCGCAACGTCATCCAGTACGAGTTTAAAGCGCTCAAAGCCTTTCAGTAGCTGTCCCGTAGACACGACCTCATGAGAGACCAAGTAGGTCAACAGCGACGCCATCGCCGCACTACTGGTCTCACCACCTTCTTCGAGAGAGTTCGTGATGCCACGCTTGACGACTTCATGATGAAAATGCGGCACATTCAATTCACGAACACAGCGCGCAGCCTCTTCGAGATCGCTAGAGAGCAGATACTCCTTCGTGAGCTGGTCGATCGCGACTTTCAGCTCCTCAACCGGTCGGCCATCTCCAGGTCCCCACGCCTTTTCCATCCGCGCAGTCGCGTGGTTAATGCTCAACTTCTTGATAGCTTCGGCTGCAATCTCTGGCGCATATCGCGTGATGAACGGATCCTCCAAGAAACTCGGCGGTAAAATCTCGTCCACTACTGCACGTGCACAAAAGATCGCCAGCATGTTCTTGGCCGACGGAATATCAATCTGTAAGTCTCCAGCTAATAGCAACACGCGACGAAAGCCCATGAGCACCTGACCCGCTGTGAGTCCATCCAGATACAGCGTCGACACGAGTCGTGACGCGAGCTCGCGCTCCTTGTCGTGCTTGTCCATGGCCATTGTAATGGCGCGTTTCACGACTTCGTACTGAAACTCCGGCTCATTGAGCTCCTGGAGCGAACTCAGGACCTCTTCGGCGTCGCCATTGGTGAAATATTCCTCCAAAATCTCAATCACGCGCTTCTTCACTTCGGGAGGGGCATTAATTGCCAGCTCCTTGGCTGCCAGCGCGTCTGGCTCGAGCGTTGGCGTCGATTTTGTGGGTGACCCCACGACCGTCGACACGAGCACGACGTTTTCTTCGGCTTCGCTGTCGTAATTCGGGTCGTGGGCGTCCAATGGCACGGCAGGAGGGACTTCCGTGACTTTCCAGGACGCCTTTTGACCGCCGCCCATGCGTTTGCCGGCATCGCGTGACTTGCTCCGTTCTCGACGTGGTGGTTGTGACTTGTCAGTGGCGATGGCGCCACTGCTGGAGCTTGAGCGGACTAGACTTGGGTGCACGAGGACGTCGTTGTCCAGAGCAGGTGCTGTCGCTGTACATGACACAAGACAAAAAGAGAATATAGTTAGAGAGAGGGAGTTGATAGATAGATATGTAGATAAATATGTGTTTAAGGTAGATAAATATGTGTTTAAGTAGGTAGATAGTGAAGTTGAAATGGAGAAGGAGGAGTGTGATTGTGCGCTGACCTTCAGGGGTCGTGGACATGATAGCGGGTGGAAGAGAAACGTAGAGACGAGACGGTAAGGGAGTGAACGAAGGGGATGGAGCTGACGGGGGGCGACGACTTGAGCGTCGTTCTTCTGTTTGATGTTTTCGTTTGGGTAATTTGGATCTGATTCGAAAGAGTTGCGACTGTTTTTGAGACACTTGGTCGGTCAAGATAGGTAAGGAGATAGGGAAAGGAGGGGAAGTCAAGATCGCGGAAGGGACCATTTTCGTCTGTAATTGTCAGCATGGACAATCGGTATACTGTACACTATGACCGATGGTAGAGGAATCAGAGGGTCAAGCGTTTTGATCAACGTGTTATGATGGAAAAGTCGCGTCGATATGACATAAGTGGACTGCAGTTCTATTCTGAGCTAAAACGATTCGAATAGAGATAAAGTGCTTTAACTCCCAAGGAACCAAAAAATATCGGGGAAAATTCTACCGAACCAAGTTCTTTCTACACCGAAATTGCGCATAGTGATTCAGATACATGACTGCTCCGACTATTGCTCCACGAGTCTTCCTGTGGCATGTAGCACTAGTCTGCAGCAGGTGCTACGTATCGGCAATCCAAGGCGGCTTGTATCGGCGACCTTTTAGCAAGTAATTAAGTCCAGTTCGGTACCTTATTGACGTCATATTTACTGTCCCGTTTCTAAATTAAAAAACTACAAAAAGTAGCATACACGTACAACTATCGTTCAGGGGCTACGATGAAGAACGACTGCTTCAACGTGTGATGGTGACTCCAGACTGCTGATAGTATTTACCATGTCGTAAGGTAAGCCGGCCCAGATCACGACGCGTAGAAAGACGAGCGGTCGACTTCTGGAAGTGCTTCCATGCAACCGTGACAGGTCGTCGCAGTCGGATCATTTGCTGTAAAACACCTGCATGTGCGCAAAAGCAAAATGCAAAATGCAGTCAGTAAAGCCACATACGTTCGTCTGGCGTAGTCAGAGTGCAGAAGAACTTACAGCGAGCATAACCAAGATCGAGCTCTGATCTTAGTGTTGCTAGGGCCATATACACGATTTCGACCACACTTGTCGCACTTGGCATTCCACACACTCACGTTGGTACGGCACTGAGTTCCAGTACACTTCCACGTATCTCGAGCCACCTGAAACTGCAACATTAGTATGCGCTGGGTGTGAACGTCCATTTGTCGCACTTGTATCATCGAGTTCTTCACGTTTTTTGCTGTGTATTAAAACGGAGCAGGTACAAACACGTCAGCACATTACTATGGTTACTTCAAAATTGGACAACTTACAATTAAGCTCTTCTACTGCGGCCTTCGCTCCTCCCTCCGTTATAAAAGTTACCCGTGCATCACCGCGTCCGAGATAGTTGCGCTGACACACAAACACCTCGATTGCCGGGAATCCAGTATCTTGATCAACCTGTGCTCACAAAAGCCGCAGCCGAGACGTAAGTTCACTGATATCCAACATCAAGTAGCACGCAACACGCACCCCGACGCCAAAACGTGCAAAGTCCTCCTCAATTTGTTCTGCACATACGGTAGGGTTCAACCCCGACACATACACCTGCCTCATTACTAAAGTTTCATCCACAGAAACGCTTTCCAGATCAAAGCGAATATCTTCGACTTCCTTCATCAACGCGCTTCCATCATCATCCGAATCCGTGATGTATACATCATCGTCACCATCAAATGTAGCCAACGCACCCGGTGAAGGAGGTGCTTCTACACCATCAGGGATCTCTCGCTTTTTTGCAGGTGTATCAATGCCACCGACGCTACTGTTTTGGCTGACTTTCTCAGACTGTAGTGTCTTACACAAACTCTCCGTTTTTCTGGAATCTCGGCTATCTTGAGACGTTGATCGTCGTCGACCATTAGCTTTTCGATAACGATCGCGATCAGTCTTCGTCGTTTGATCAAAATGACGATGGCCTCGCTTGCTCGACCTCTCCCGCGACCTTGAACGCGAACGGTGGCGACTTTGTTTGCTGCTGTTCTCCCGTTTCCGAGGACTAGGGGAACGATACCTGGATCGAGGCGAACCTTTGCGCCGGCGATCATCACGCGACCGACCATTTCTGGCAGAAGAACCCCGGTCTCTAGATGGCGACAGCGGTAGTCGTATTTTCCTATCACGCTTGCTGTGGTCGCGTTCCTGGCCCGGACGTCCATGCGAGGAAAAGTCATGCTTGTCCGACTTCGTTGGCGTTTGTGGTCCATAGCGATTGGATCTCGAGTTTCTGCTGTATGAAGTTGAGCATTCTTTGCGGCAATCGTCACGCCGTGCACCCTTCTTACAACCATGATCACTCTTGCTTGACAACCGTGGTTCCGCATCGTGTGTCAGCTCCTCCAATTTCTGTGTTTTCTTTCTCTTTTTCGGAATCGGAAGTTTGTCCCAGTCTACATCCCGCACCCGGCTTTTAACCAGACAAACGCCTTTACGTACTGCTTCCTCTTGCATTTTCTTGAATCGGCTGGGACGTTTGTAACCGCTTCCTTCGTGAATGTCGCTGGTAACGTCTTGCCCATCTATGTGTAGAGCGTCATATAAACTTATTTGAGGCTCCCGCCTGTATCTACCATTAGAAGCACTGTTATCAACCACTCGCGTCGGTTTTTCAATTGACGCCGAGAACGAAGGTTGTGCTGCCGAAGAAGCACCCGAGCTCAGACCCCCACCATAACGCGACTTTGACACGATCCGGGGCGCCTGCGCTGCAGAACTGGGCGAATCACTAGTCTTCTTTTTCGTCCCTGCATACGACAGATATCTGGTTTGCGATTCGTCTTCGCTCGTTTTCAGCATTTCTTTCGTCAAAAAAGCGAGCGGTACGTCATCGAGATCCTGATCACTGCTTACCTTAGAGTTACTCGTAGGTATTACTGTGTACTGACTGGGCAGTTGACGCTTGCCTTCTGGTAAATCATTCAGCATTTTAGCACAGCGCCTTATCTGTAAATACTTGCCTCTTTGTATCGTCGTGATTGCGCATGGTGTTTTATATGAACGAAGCCCATTGGAACCAATCGACGGGTTCGTTGGCACCGCAAACCTCTTCTTAGGTTTGTCGACTTCGTTGCATTCCGACTGTACGTGAGTCACGTCGTGACTATGGGCTGACACGGCTTCAAAGGCAGTGGTGGCCGCTCGCGTCACTTTCACCGGTGCAAAATCAAAGAACTGCTGTACTCCGTCTATTGACGCACAGGCCTTCTGGCCGTCCAACGCTTGTTTGTCCGAGCCAGTGCTGTCATGTGTCTGATCGGATGCTTTTTTGTTCGACGTCACGCTGTTTTGTTCGTTACCTGAAGCTTTACCTTGAGTACCGATTGCACGATCCGTCTCGTTCACGAAATCGTCAATACCATAATCACTGTCATCACTGTCATCAAGTCCCAGATCGTTGGTATCCGGCGTATCGTCTTCCAGTATTTCTGTTTCAGCCTCCGAAAGGTCTTCGTCGCTCGCTTCTGCCCTCTGCTGCGCCTCGCCTACTATAGGATCGTTATCTACCCACTCCAAATCGTCACCAACTACTTCTGGTGTGATACTCTCCTGTTCCTCTCCGACGTCGCTACTGACAGCCAAATCAGGCGTGGAGACACTCACGGTTCCACGAGCGACCTCGTCTTGAGGAGACACATCGTTGCTCTCCCTATCCACCGTCCCGGTAGGAGGCGAATGAGCGTCTGCAGCATTAGCGATGTCGTACGCGTCGACTACCAGGTTACCCTGAGTGTCATCCGCTTCGTGAGCAGTACACCCAGTAGCCAACGGTTTCAAACCTACTCCAGCTAGAGCTTTACTGACCGTGTCGCCATCCAATATTGTAGCTGGCTTAGGTGACACGCTTTCCAAAACCTGTGCTTCCTCATGATCATCCTTTTCTTGGAAAGAACCTAGCAGACTTGCGATTCTATCAGGAACCTCGGATCGCAGAGTTGACTCCTTCATTCCATCACATACTATCGTACCGCCATATGTATCACTGGCACTAGCATCGTCCAATAACCAGTCCTCTCCTTCTTTTGGTGAGCTAACCGTTTCATTTTCCCCAACTTTATCCTTGCTGACCACATGCATGAGCGGTTGGCTTGGCATAGTTCTTGAGTCTCCTTCTGCCTGTAACATCTCTCCAGTAGCTAGATTACACTCAGCTTCGCTCTCAGTAAGAGACCGCAATCCCATAACGTCGCCTCTGTCCTGAGCACCGTCACCTTGCTGGGCCAATTTGTGCGTGAAAATTGGTCTGCGTAAACGCAAGTTCGTCTTCTTCGGTACAACACTCGTCTGCTGCAGCCGCTTCCTGACACGTTTCACCGACCGTCGTCCTTCCCTGTCATCGTCAAGACCATCTGCTACTTGCTTTTCATCAGGTTCCGAATCGCCTTCATCCTCTACTGGCGAGGGCGAGTACGAGCTATTTACACAGCCACCGCTTTCACCGCCGCTTTCCTCCTCGCGAGTTAGCGTCAGCCTCGTCTTCCCATGTCGCAGATTCGGACGGCGTACCTCCTCTGACGTCTTCGCATCTCTTTGCTTCCATCGTAACTTTTCTTTACGTCGTACAACCGCCGGATCACAAAGGTCTGGATCCACTACTTTCGCCTCTTTTACATCCAATCGTGCTGTCGTCCTCCTGTCAGTCGTGTCTTTGGCCAGCGCCAGTGGACTCGTCGACAGCTCGTGGTGCATCAACTCGGCCTGCTCCATCTCCAGTTCCACCTCCATCTTGACGTCACTGCTCACCGTCGTCTCAATCTTCGTCTCGTTTTGCCCAAATCTTTGCAGCAAATGAAAGAGCGTACTTTCTTCCGTCGACCCTGTTTCTACACTGAATGGCTCGACGTGCGTCACGTCCAGCGCCAGCGTCTGGATCAGCGCCTGCACGCTCGCGTTACTCGCTTCCGTCCCGTCCATTGCCGCATTCACTGGGTCCGTCTCCATCAGCTTCACAATCGTTTCGGGGGATGCCAAGTTCAACGGCATCTCCAGTGGCGCTCTCGTGTCACTTGCACTCAATACGTTGCGGTCCACCAGCGCGTTGGCGCCTGCTGCCTCTGCTTGCAGCAGCGCGTTCATGTCCGAAAGGTCCACGTCGCCTAGAAAGTCCAGCGCCGTATCGTCGTCTTCGTCCTCGCTCGCGATCGTTTCGCTCTGTAGCGACCGGCGGTGGTCGGTAAAGGCAATGTGCGACTTGATACGCCAGAAAAGACGCGTCTGCTCGTGCTGCTCGTCTTTGCGAGTGGATGCAAGCCATTGCCGCGCACGTAGCAGCTCACTCTCCCACACGATCGTGGTGCTGTCACCCATTGCGCGGTTTCCTTTTCGTCACGTCGTGTTTCCCTTTGAGTGCGCCGCCAGAGTGCGGAATGCAGAGTGATGGTCGTCAACGGTGGTGGTCGAGATAGATATCAGCGATTATTGATTGGCTGAAACGAACGAAGGACGTGACAGCTCGTGCCGGTGAGTTAGAAACTCGCCTTTTCTTCCAATGGCGTTCACGGCCGACACATTGCGCGAGTCGACCATGGGGAAACTGCGTGGCTACGACTTCTACCGCGCCATTGGCTCCCCCAGGTGTATCGTAGCGCCAATGGTGCGCTACATGGATCAGTTACACACTACTACTTTGCATACGAACCTATTGAAGATGCTGTACAGTACACGTTGCCACTGCGTCATCAGCTGCTAGCTAGCCTTGTGTTGACAAAAGGTGTCTACTTTATCTGCAGGTAGATCAATCCGAGTTGGCCTTTCGAATGTTGTGTCGGACGCTCGGAGCCGACTGCTGTTACACGCCCATGCTTCACAGCCGCCTGTTCGTTGAGAGTGCTGAGTACCGTGACAAGATGTTTGAGCACCATATCCACGACCGGCCACTGATCGTGCAGGTCGGTGTCGTGTTTCGTCCTTTTTATGTCGCTTGTTGCAGTTGACAAACCGTGCAATTTTGACAAAATGTGTACATTTGGGTGGCAGTTTTGTGGCAATGATCCGACGACTGTGTTAACAGCGGCCAAGATGGTGGAGCGCCATTGTGACGCCGTGGACCTGAATCTGGGCTGTCCGCAGGGCATCGCTCGCAAGGGCCACTATGGATCCTTTTTGATGCATGACAAGGGGACTGTCAAGTCTATAGTGGAGACGCTGAGTGCTGGACTTGCTATTCCCGTGACGGTCAAGATCCGAGTCTTTCCAGATGACAGGGAGACGCTGGAGTTTGCCCAGATGTTGCAAGACGCTGGATGTGATCTACTGACGGTGCACGGCCGTACAAAAGAGATGAACAAGACCGCAGTGGGCGCGATCAACTGGGACATTATTCGACGCATTAAGGAACGATTGAGCATTCCTGTGATTGCAAACGGAGGAGTGGAGACCCATGAGGACATCGCGCGATGTCTTGAGGCTACGGGTTGCGACGGCGTGATGAGCTCTGAAGGAGTGCTGGAGAACCCGGCGCTATTTGCGGACGGGAACAATGCACCCGGGACAGACACGTCATTTCTAGAGCTGGCGAGACAATACCTTGAATTTGCAACGCTGTATCCACCCGCGAGTGATAAAATTGTGCGTGCACATCTCTTCAAGATTCTGTTCCAGGATCTGCGTGTGCACTCGGACTTACGCGACGCGCTGGCAGCTGCAAAGTCGCAAGAGGAGATGGTGCACATTGTCGATGAGCTTGCTGAGCGCTTGAATAGATCAGTAGACACGACTGCAGAGGGTGATATGAAGAAAGGTATGATATACGCCGCCAAGACAAGTTGGTATCGCCGCCACCGACAAGGCCAGGAGAAGCTTCGACGTCGCGACTCGTACGAAAAGTGTCTGGATACCGGCTTTGGCAATTTGTTTGGGTGAGCAGAACTTGTTCCTTGACCAAGGCTGACGAAGTGAGGCTGCAAATAGAGTCTATTGATGCTTGCACATGACACGCGAGTCGCAGAGTTGATCTGTTATTGTCTAAATCGTCCTGTATATTCTTGCTGCTTTGGAGTGAGATGCAGAAACTTCCAGCCGAAAGTCTTGTTATGATGCTGAGTTGAGTCCCATGCCCCAACCAAGCTTTGCGCGCTTTTCACGCGGAGGTAAACTGTCGCTGCCATTAACCATCGAACGCAAAAGCGAAGATCCGGCAGAAGCCGTGAAGCTGGCTGGCAGCGGGACGTATTCGCTGCCATCTTGTATCCCCGCGTTGTCAGCATCAGTGGACGCAGTGTCATGTTGGGCCTCTTGTCGTGACGTAGACGACGGTCTCATCATTCGTTTGCCACGTCTTGGTTTGTGTCGGTCCGAATGGCTAGATTTGTCACCGGAAGCTGACCCAACGTGTACCGAGGACGAGGACCGATTGTGACGATGATGTTCACTGCCACTGTGTCGATGTGAAGAGTGATGCCGTACTGATACGCCACTTCGACTGCTGCTACCAGCACTTCGGTGCTTCTTGGACTTCGCTTTTAGCAAGTGCTGGACGAGTCTTTTTCTCTGCACAGGGAATGTCGGTGGGAGTCCACTGAAGTCGAAAGCCTGCTTGCTGTCACGGACGCTGTCAAAGTAACTCATATCGGTGAGCTTTTTCACCACGCTACGACGGGCAGGGTCCAACTGAAGCATAGCCTCAAGCACGTCGACCGCATCTTCATGAAAGTCTGTAAATTTGGAACGCTGTTCCAGAAGTGTCTTTCGGAGCCGCATCTTGTACTCATGCTTAGGCCGAAAGGTGTTGTACAACGGGAGCTTGTGCGCGCCTTCCCACGATGAGCCCGGTGTGCCACAGAGACGAAAGATCAGATCGAGCTGTACTTTGGAGTCCTGGCCTTGAAGAAACGGAACCTTCTCAAGGAGGATAGCAAGCGCCACGCAACCTGCAGACCATATATCCGAGCGCCATGTGTACTTCGTTTCGCCGAGCAGAATCTCTGGAGCAGTCACGTGCAGCCACGCACCGTAGCAGTGCTGTTTGCGTTCACTGTCCGTCATGACGTAAGCAGCGATGGACGATCCATCACCATCTTTTCGCTTAATGTTCGCGACTTTGCGCATTGCATGGAAACCGCCGAGTTTAGCGCCGTTCTTGAACAACAAGAGGTGTGAAGGGGCAACAAAGCGGTGAACATACCCATGGTCGTGGACGGCAGAAAGGCTTTGGAGCATGTCAAATATTGCCTTTTTGCGCAGCTCGGGCGTAAGCGATACATGAGCCTCGAAAATGCCGGAAAACATGTGCAGCGGCTGCTCAAATGCCAAGTAGTGCTTTTGTAGATTCAGTCTGTCCATGCCTTCGGGTAGAGGATTACCATCGTCGTCGATCGTAGCCGCGAGTAAGTCAAGATCATCAGCGCTGGTAATGGGAGCTCCCGTCTCCTTCGGCTGTCGGTCCTTGCAGTTAGACGGAAAAATAATTCCATGCAGCTTCATAAACCGATTTGGTAAGAGTGACGAGAGGGTTGTTGCTGCTGACAGCTCACGCAGGCAAGCTTCGTTTATGCCTTTTTCTTCCGTGAAAAACGTATCCTGCTCAAGATATGGCCACGACTGCAGATAAACAGGCTGCCCAGCTAGGTCGAGGTTTACCTCCTTTGACACGACACCCAAATAAGCTCGTTTCCGAATGGACTCGGTGTTAGTAATCTCGTCTGCGTGCAAGCGAATGCTTCCAATACTTGTATCATTTGTACCAGTTACAACTTTCTTTGGAAAAATTGACAGTGCCGAGAAAGAACTGTCACAACCCTGCCCCGTAGCAGCCCTGCTTAATCGTGGTGATGAATTTGTCATTGCCTTAAACGTGATGAAATTCTTCCCTTTGCTGCGCGAGGGTGTCATACTCGAGAACATAGCTGCCTTCATTGAATTGTCAGCTGAGAACGTCATATTTGTGGTCAACGTTGAAGGACCTGTTGATGAGCTGGTAAGAGAAGGCAGGATAATCCATTTCTTCAACAAGCGCGCTATCCGACTTGAAATCTCCACATCATTTCTGTCCCGAGCGACGGTGAACTGCTCCAGGTCAAACCCACCTACGTCGTCCGCTGCTTTTGGCGGTCTCAGCTGCGCTGTCATTGACTGCTTCTCTAAGCGTACCCACCGGTCATTTAACTGATCGCAAATGGATAGAGAGCAATTAAGCAGCATGCTAGCTTCCGCTGCATTACAATGGACATCGAGTCGTGGTAGGAATTCGGGGACTTTAGCGAGATGAGGGAGCGAGCGGTGGCTCAGCACTTCAATTACAGCAGCGCTTACATACACCACACTAAGCACTACGCATTCCACAGGCGTGTGCGTCCAAATCGATAGTGGCAAGGCTTCGGCCACCAAATGTTTTGCTTCTTTTTGCACTTCCGACGGAGGCGCTGACGGAAGAAATGAGCCCAATCGATTCTCACCGCCGTGGTCAAACATCGCCATAAGCTTCTTGGAACCTTTGCGTGTAGTTAGGAGGTCTAACAGAGCGTACGGGTCGTCACCCGTTACATCATAATGCAACCCTTCAAGCAACTCGCCCTCCGCTTTAACTAAGCGGCGCTTGAGTACTCCAAGTTCAGGAGAGACAGTTGTAAGACGTTCAGCAGCCGAGGAACCGTGCTTTGCCTTGTACACTTCCTTCACAAAGGCTGTCCACGGCACTTTTCGGGCGCGAGCTTTCAAAAACAAGTGAAGCATCGTCGCAGCATAGATATCGACCTCCATCGGCATAGTGTGGAACGTGAAGAATCGATTCAGCGCGATTATGGCACTCGTAGCATCCTCCCGGTCGAGGCGCAATCCCTTGGCAATGTGAAAAATACTTTTCACGTACTTCACCCGCAGCGACTCTTCCAGTGACGTCGACAAAACTTGCTGAACAGCCAATTTCCTAAGTTCATCTTCAGAAACGAGCCAATTCAGCTTCTGGCCAAAGCAATACCGTTCGATTCTTCTCACCGAAGGCTCACTCGATGCTTCTCCCGAAGGCTTCGTAATGCTTCTGATCGTCATGCCCTGCTGACGCATCATCTGCACTTTGCTTTTCTGGTGCCGGAAGTTCTCCAACTCATTGACACCTGCTTGATACACGCGCAACATCTTATCGAGTAAATTACGGCGGTCCAAGGTGCGCCGAAACGAAGATGCAACTTCGCTGCTTTCCAGCTCCACAAGCGCCCAGCCCGAGCCATCCAGAAAATTAAACACGTCGGCATGCACCAGTGCATTTGGGTGCTTCCGACTAAGAAATAAGCTGCGAAGAGCAAGTGTATCGTACTCTTTCGGCAAAAACTTGATCAACAACTTGTTAGACACCACTGTGCCATCGCGGTCAATTGTTTCACCGTACTGACTCTTTTTGATCGTACTGAAGCTGCTCTCCGATCGTTCCAAGGCTATCGGCGACGGAGTGCGGACAGGCGACTGTGACGTCACGACCCGCTTAGGCGATGGGTCCCTACTTCCATCTGCACTTGACATCTCCGACGAAGTCGGAACACGCTTTTTCGGGATCGCAAACACTGACGTACCCTTTTCATCTCCCACGGGACAATAAATCTGCCACCCGTTCTCTTTAAGCTGCACAAACTGTTTCTCAGCTGCCTCCATGTCTTCTTCAATATCCTTTTCATCGGTCTCGTACCCAGTCAGCTCCAGCAGATCCTCCACCTCGTACCGATCCTCGTCTTCATCATACGCTTTAACCAGGTGGACGTCAAACTCCATTTTATCATCTGGGGAGAGGAAAACGCGCACACGTCGTCCGACCAGCGCAAGTCCAATTTCATGTCGCTCTGGATCACGAAAGTAGCCACCTGTCTGCGCTTCTGCACCTTGCAGTGTGTCATTCTGCAAGCCAATTACGCCTTTACAAGTTGGCATGCCGCAAAAGCACTTGATCTGCCTCGAGCCAAGAGCTTTCCACTGGTAATCAAACGTCAGTTCTTCCCCCGCGTCAATATCGCGCAAAGCAATCACTGCAATCCTCGTCTCGCCTTTCACTGTCCACTTTTCCGTCTTGCAGTTTGGTTCACAGCTATGGTTGACAAACCGCGTGAAACTCCCTTTTGTCCTCGCGTCAATGTAAACACCAGGAGCCAGCAGCAAGTAGTAAAAGTTCAGCTCGTGTCTCGGCACACTCTTAAGTCGTCGCGCCAGTTCTTTCTGGTCAATGATTTCACCCACATACTCGCCGACAATGCCCCGTTGAGCAATCCCTTCGCAAGTGCGCACGCCATACCCTTTAAACTCCGTCTTAAACGGCTCCAGTAACGGAAATCGCTCTGGATGCTGCAGTCGCTGATTGCGACAAAACTCGCCTGTAGCACAGCAAGGAGAACACTCAATGTACGTGGCGAAATTCAGACACGAGACGTCGTCACAGCGTCGCGTGTCCTTGTCCAGTCGCTCGAGCGGGTTTGGAAACGTGCAGAAACAGAGCGCGCGTTCATCGTCGTCGTCGTCGTCGTCGCCGTCTTGACGCGCACGCTGTCGCACTCGCTCCCGCGCGAGGTGGCGGAGCGGGTACTCGTTGCGGGCAATGAGCTGGACGTTGCGCAGCGCCTGTACGTGGTCGAAACTCGCGCTCCGCTCGGAGCTGCTCGCCATGGTTGGCAAATGAGCTTCTGGGTTGGCGAAATGTCATAGGAGAAAATGTGAGTGAGCAAGAGCGTACGAGTGGTACACGGTACCGTCGATGAGGATTACTGGTCGAGTCGCCGATGATTATTGATGACGAGTGGTGGATGCAGCTGTATGGGATATTATTGTATCCCATGTGGGTGGATACTATCTAATCGGGAAATTATCTCGTTGGCAAAGAAGGAACAGGTGACTGTGTGGATAAAAAACGATCGTACAACAGTTTTGTGGCAAAAGGCTGACGGCTGGGTTCTATTTTGAATTTGGCTGGGTCATTTTACAATTCTCTGGAGTGGTATAGAAGTACGCCCCAATTTCGTCAGGAGGAGGTCCCATTTACTCGAATCACCATCACATTTACCCACTGGCCCGTGCGAAACTCAAAATGAAGATATCGGTGGAATTCAAGCCAATAGTCGACTCCAGTCCTTACTTTCTGCTGCTGATGTTCGTTCCAACCGCTCACCTAAGCACCAGGACTTTATAGTGTACCACATCCACCGTTGACACAAGTGGAAATTATCTACGCAAAAAATTATGAGGAACTGCAAGTATTCAGTAGATAATTATGGAGCCGTCATGGACAAAGACACTAATACTACGGCCACAGACACGAATATTACGGCCACAGACACTAATACTGCGACCATAGACACGTGTTGGAATGTTGGAAATGGGTGCAAGGGTACGTAACGGTGATCGGAGTGTTCGGCCGGTGACTTGAGGTTTATTTTGGAAACCTGATGTCACAAACTCGCTGTGCGTAAATGGTGGACGCAGAGTGACAAGCAGGATAGTGATCCGAGTAGAGCCAGAATGCGTGTGAGATGGATAACTGGAGCAGAGGGCTTTGGCGAGCATGGCAGAGAAGAGAGAACTAGTAAGGAAATACAACAGAATCTTATTGTTCACCTAACGCTTCCTTCTCGCAACACGCATCTTGCCTACAACACGAATACTACGGCCACAAACGATTGACCCAGCCAAAAACAGCTCAGACAATTTAGTTGTAACTACGCGTTCCAGCCAATCAAATAACTCGTTCACTTGTACACACGAGCTTCTGCTTCTTATGCGTTTCATGTTAATTTTGTTCCAGCGAGATAACAGTTCTTTTTTTCGAGTACTCACTGCTATATGTATGGTATAGAATACAATCATCGGATCTGGATGTTGGAACGGTGGTTGCTGTTGATGGGGATCCTTTACAGGGTGACGTTCCATTGCCGCGAAAGGTTGAATTCGACCATGAACGTTGACCAGGCAAGCTGCAAATGAACATCAGTGTCCCGCTTGATAACAAGCACCGCGCGGTGGCGCCTTCTTCTTCCTTAATGGTATGCCTTCCAAGTATTCAGAGTGAGAAGGGTCTTGCTGTGTTGAAGTGTCGGCGCTCTTTCCGCTTGGTCTTCCCCATGTTCGAGCAATTTTTGGTTCTGCAAGGATAGGTGGTGTTTCCTTGTATAAACGGCATCAGTACCTATTGAAATGTCGAATGGAGAATGTTTACCACAAAGAATACCTGTGATAACTCCGTCAATTCGCAAATTTGCCTCGTATTGTTTCGAAAAGTGCTGATGAGGCATCATATGGGAGGGGTCTGTAACAAGCAGTCTTCCTACAGGAATTTGCTGAAATTACTAATGAGCGTCGGAATCTTTAAATTCCAGTCACCCCTCTCTGCGATGGTCAGCTTCAATCTAGCTCGCAGGTTGTTCCCCAGATGGTAGTGAACGTAAAAGCACAAAGTGATAGTGAACGACAAGGCGTCGTCTGTGATGGAGAAGGACATGCAGGTTGTTTCCCAGATGGCAGTGAACGTGAAAGCACAAAGTGATAGTAAATGACATGGCGTCGTCTGTGATGGAGAAGGACAATGTTGATGTGAACGCTTTATATTTCTTCGTGAATATATTTAACTCTAATGCGTAGATTTTCATTCCGCTTTTCTTCCAACACCTTTGAAAGGGCAGTCAATAAGTGAACCGGCCGCCCCTCCTAGTTAGCGAATCAATCGTAATTTTGCACATGATCGTTCAAGCTGTGAGAGCAACATCTGTACAGCTATCTATCACTTTTAAGGGGGTATCGAAAAGTGACAAACGTTCATACCCTAGTTTTTGCGGATACTGGGCTCACGAGTAAACGATTGTAGAGTGAGGCCGCGCTTCTTGGGAGGTTTATCGAAGTCATCAACCAACCTGCAATTTTTTCGGACGACCGTAGAGTATTCTTTCTCATTTCTTCACCAAATCTCACTTCAACGCCTTCGTTTCTCTTCCAAATTTTGCTCAACTGTTACTAAAATTCTCCGACTTGTATCTAAATCATGCCCTGGGTTCTAGTCATCATGGAGTCGTTCAGGGCACCGGTTAATTTCTTCATTGCTTTTTCTCATCTGCAGTTGTAGGCCTTCGAGAAGGTTATAAAAGAACTTCTGAAGGTAAAGCTCAGTGTACTAGATTGTAACGGGGCACCCTGAAGCTTGTACTGGTGACAGTACAAGCTACTTATTCTGATAACAGAATAAGGCGGTGCCTCGTAACTTCACGTACACTCGTACGTGCAGAGGAAGACGGTAAGAAGAAGCGAGTACTCGGTTAGAGTAAAAAGTAGAACTGTATTTATAATAGTTAATGTCTGCAATAAATCACTATTTATCTTCATCTAACTATGTCTAAATACAAATGTGTAAATCAGTTATCTGCTCACCACTCATTGCGTGCGTCTGTCGTGGCGCGTCTTCGTTGGTTGATATAATGGCCTATATCAACCAATTAGGAACTACTTGGGAGTGCTACAGAATATTGTCCTTATGACAATATTCTGAGAATATAACTCTTATAGTTATATTCTATTAACAATTTCTTATAAATTGTTATGTAATGATTCGCCCCGTTACATCACCCCCCCCTTAACCATCAGTCACTTTAGTGACTGATTGACTAAATGGATACTCGTCCCAAATCATTTGGGACGGGGTTTGCACTTGTTGGTCCGCGTCCACTTTCCAACATCTCATCGCATGGCAAACAAGCCCATGCGATGCGCGAGCAAGGCCGCCGAGAGCGCGTCTGCACGTCTCTGTGCGGACGCCGAAGCAGAAACTACAGCAACTGATATCCCATCGGTTGCTGAATCGACTCAGCCTGTATCACCTGGTGATGCAGGCGCTGGTCATGAAGACACTCGTGTCTTCACAGAGTACGAGCTCGGTGTCTCGTACTCTCCTGATACGGATGACGGATCCGTATCGACGGCAATTGAATCCAAGCCGCCTGCCAAGCGTGGCATGGACGATGCTTTGCGTCGCAGCATCTTTGGTTCATCTGATGAGTCAGATGAACCATCGCCGAAGCGAAGGCGCTCGAGGTCGCGAGACTCGGGCGCTAATAGTGGTGTCGTTTCTCCAATGGACACCACTTCACAGCGAGGTGCCAGTACTTCTGTCGGCACGTCGCAGGAAGAGCGGGACCGCAATGTGTTGCGTCTCGCTCCAGAAAAGAAGGCATGGATGCCTCCTAAATCTGTCATGGATCACTTGTCGGCGACGACGAGTGATCGTTATCGAACACGATTGTTCGATTCGTCGAGGATTCATCACCTTGACCCCAGCGCGAAAGACTATCGCGCTGAACATGAGTTCTTCATCGGAAGAAGCAGCGTACTGATGGTACGGCTTAAGCCGACCAACGTAAAACGTGGGATGCGTTCGCATCTTACGTGGTAACTCGATCGTGTATGCATTGCCTAGGCGGTGCAATACACGAAATGGGCCAATGTACTTGGGTAGTAGTTTACTGCTACCCAAGTTAGTCACTACATGTTTTGGTAGATTAACCGTAGACAGTAGGACTAAGTCACCTTTATTAAATAAAAGAGTGTTTGCCCTTCCATTCTTGTCAGCGTTTTGCTTTTGCTTATCCACCGCTTCGGCGATGGAGTCTTGCACAAAACGGACTACCGTTTCACGAGCCAGTATGAACTCATCTGATGACTCGTTAGCTTCAGTGTGCTGTGAGCGCACTGCAGCAACAACAACCTTTTCTTCAGTGAGGGCTTCCGCACTCTCACTGGGATCATTGTCTTCAGTGAGGGCTTCCGCACTCTCACTGGCATCATCTTCTTCGATATCGATGTTATCGATATCGGCATCAAACGCAATGACTTCTTCGTCAGAGCGTGATGAGCGTGAACCAAATCGGTTTTTGCTCGCGCGAGTCCCTCCCCCCCTTAAACCAGAGTTACACTCTAGTAAGGTGGGTACACGCGGATGGCGCAAGCCATTCACGTAAAACGGTGTATGTGTCGTGGACGCATGCACCGAGTTGTTGATGGCAAACTCTACCATCGGCAAAAACTCACTCCAACTCTTAAAGGAGTGTACGTATCCTCGAAGTATCTCTTCAAGGACACGATTGGCACGTTCCGTCTGACCATCTGATTCTGGATAATCAGATGTTGACATCTTCAAGCGCGTTCCGAGTGATTTGAACACGGAACACCAGAAATCAGCAGTGAATCGTGGATCTCTGTCTGATACGAGTTCACGGGGCAACCCATGAAGTCGGAAGATGGTGTCAATAAAGACACAAGCACAGCCACTTGCCGTGATTGTCTCTGGTACAGCCACAAGGTGTACCATTTTGCTGAATCTGTCAACAAATACGAGAATACCCGTATTCCCGCGTGCGTCTTTGGGTAACCCGAAGACGAAATCCATTGAGATGGATTCCCAGCACTCAGCCGGAACCGGTAGAGGCTGTAAAGGTGCACGCAGTGAAGGACTTGACTTCACTCGTTGGCAGACTTCGCATGCGCGAACATACTTTCGCACAAACTGATACTGGCGGGGCCAGTAAAAGTCTCGACTTACCGTGAGATATGTTTTCTCTCGGCCACGATGTCCTCCTATAGGAGCATCGTGATACTCGAACATGATCCGCAAACGCAGATCAGTATCATCTGGAATGACAACACGTGGTGTGTCACCAGAAACGGCTGTATAGTACAGTAAACCGTTACGAGTAGTGTATCGATCTGATGCAGATCGATACGCAGACGACAATCGTTTCAACGATTCTCGAGATGGTTGGGAGAGATGTGACAACAACTTCACTATCTCACCATCTTGGGCGTATGCCCGCCTCACATCATCATACAACGTTGTAGATGGAACTGAGGACGTCATAACCGCAACAGTGACTGTCTCACTGTTGGGTTTCGCGACTGTTTCAAAGTCGGGACGACGTGAGAGTGCATCAGCGACGACATTAAGTCGTCCTGGTTTGTACTCGACCGTAAAGTTGTATTCTGCAAAGAATGACAACCACCGCGCCATTCGTTGTGAAAGGTGCGGGCTGTTCACTGCCGTGCGTAAGGACGCATGGTCAGTGTAAACAACGAAGGGTCTATCTCCTAATAGATAGACTCTGAACTTCGCGAGTGCATACTTCATGGCAAGGAGTTCCTTGTCATGCACTGGATAGTTCCGCTCAGCTGGTTGCAGCTGACGCGACTGATAGCAGACGACGCGTTCAACGCCTTCAAGGTCGTACTGCATTAATGCACAGCCGATTGCGAAATCGCTGGCATCACAGACCACATGAAATGGCCTGTCCTGATCGGCTATTGCTAGGACTGGGGATTGTATCAAGCTCTGCTTGATACCCTCAAAGGAGCGTTGACATTCAGCGTTCCATAACCACCTCTCGTTCTTTTTCAACAAACGAGAGAGGTGTACAGTCATCTCGGCGTAATTGCGTGAATACTTATGCAAATACGCCGCTAGCCCAAGGAATTTTCGAAGACCTTTGACATCGACCGGCACGGGCCAGTCGGTGATCGCCTTGATCTTTTCGGGATCAGGACGTACACCGTTCTTACCAACGATGCACCCAAGAAGTGGTATTTCGCTTGCTGCAAATATACACTTCTTGAGGTTTGCATACAATTGATGCTTTCGCATGATTGTAAGAACTTGTCGGACGTGGTACTTGTGAACCTCAACGTCCGACTTTCCATCCATAGCTCGACTATGGATGAATACGTCATCGAAATAACTCGGCGCGAATTCTCGTACTGGTCTCAACAGATGTGATACACACCTGTTGAACGTGGCAGGGGCATTACTGAGCCCTTGTGGCATTACTAGCCATTCCCAGAGCATGCCGCTAGGCGTGCTAACTGCGGTATAGGGTATATCCCGTTCCCGCATTAGGATTTGATAGAAGCCATCCATCAAATCCATGGACGAAAAGATGGTACTCTTTGACATACCATCAATGATTACGTCCTTCCTCGGTATCGGCGTCTGAGCCGGTACCGTTGCAGCGTTCAATTTGTTAAACGCGTGCACTATCCGCCACCCTCCTGTTGCTTTTCGCACACAGAAGGTCGGAGAGCTATGTGGGGAAGTTGATTCCCTCACATGGCCCGCTGCTAAACGATCGGCAAAGAACTTGTCGATCGCAAGTACTTGTTCACGAGGCAGTGGCCACTGCTTCATGACACAGTACTTCGAGCCTGGTTTAAGCTCGACTTCGTGTCGAATACCTTTATCCTTCGGTAATTCGCACGGAAAAGTTTCAGGGAATACATCCTTGAATTCAACCAAATCTTCATAGAGAGGATTTTCCTTGAGCGATTCCCATGATTGGGACTCATATCGCTCAATTCGTGTCTTTTCATCTAGGACACTCTCGTCCATAGATGAACTACTGAGAACTCTCTCGTTCTCAGTAAACACTGTTGCTGACCTTATGTCGGTTACATACTCGTCTTCAGCGACGAGTATGCAGATCTGCTTGACTTTGCCACTACGCAGATCACGCAAGAATCTTTTATGTTCGAGCGTTGGCAACTGAGTGATCTCCGAAGTTAACTTCGGAGGCGCAATCAGATCAAGTGTATAAGCGCCTACACATGATCCGTTATTGACTATGACATTCAATGTCTCTGTCATTTCCTGGGGACTTATTCCCTCAGGCTTCGAAGGACTTATTCCTTCGTCTTCCCGGGGACTTATTCCCGCGGGTTTCGGGGAACTTATTTCCGCCGTATTTGTAATCTTGGGACTTATTCCCTTTACTTCCTCTAGCTGGGGTTGCGCAACCACAGCGAGATCCTCTACGAAAGACTCTCCAGTCGATCTAGGATTATCGTTTCGCTTAACCTGAGCGATCGATTGTTTCTCTTCTAGATGTTCCCCTCTAGGGATACATCTTTGTCCCAGTCCACCCGACTTATTCGAGTGGTGGACCTTCGGCGCAGCCTGTGTTTCCTCACAGCCGCCGGAACTTTGCTCCGAAGTGTAACCGTTTGGTACACTAAGGTTTTGTGCAGTCGTACTAACGACCGTACCACAAGTGAGGCCATCGCACTCACTCGTAGTACATCCACACGCTTGTGGACGCTCCAAAACGTTCATCAGATGGCCATCTGATGAACAAGTGGCAGGCATCGTTACTGTCCGATGTTGCCAGTTTACCCGTGGTTCGTACCTTCTGAGCCACGGTATTCCAAGGATGACATCAAATTTGTCATCCAAATCCAATACGATAAAGTCATCGTCGTATTGGGTATCTTCTAGCGTATAGTGAATCTTCACTATATGCTTCATGACGGTTACGGATGCGCCTGTCGCAAGACGTACCGTCATCCTCGTAGGAGGTGTGTCACATTCACTGAATTTAAAGTGACCATCTTCTAGCGATTGGCGTCGCACAAAATTGTTGGACGCCCCACAATCGACTAGAGCTCGAAGGGACAACTTATTCGTCACTTCGAGTTTCAAGGTAATGAGTGAGATCTCATTACTTAGAGCAGCAACGCACAATGTCTGTGTGTTGGGAGCAACCTTCATCAAGAGGCCTACAAATTCTCTTGACGTTGCTGGATCAGTAGGGTGCTCCGCACCTACTGATCCTGTCCGTTTTTTGACGGTCCATCCCGTTGTTGCGTCTTTGCACCAACTGCGGACCCTCGTCCCTGCCCCTTTCTCATGGGTGGACGGTCACTACGCCCAGTGTCGCGAGACACTGGACGAGGGGCACTACACTCGTAAGCGTAGTGTCCTGTCTTTTGACATCTGTTGCATCTCTGCAACTTCTTGTAGTCTGTAGAGCGAGCCTTCTCGCTCTCTACATAACAGAGTTCCATCGGCTCTGGACCTCCGTTGTCGTATCGTCTCGGTGGACGATATGATGTCGAGCTGGCGCGAGCCTGTCTCAGACTGAAGTCTTCCTGCTCCGCAATTGAAATGGCTTGTTCTAGTGAATCTAGTTCAAGCCGGAACAGGTGAGTCTTGACGGGACCATCCGCAAGACCCTGCATGAACACCGAAACCAACGTGTGTTCATCCACCGGATTGGAACTTATACAACTCGTGAGATGTCGTATATGTTGAGCGTAAGCGTGCACATCACGCTTACCCTGCTTGAGCTTCAAGAGTTCGGTTCGAGCTCTGAACTCAGCTCTAGGCGGTTCAAACGTTTGTCTGAGCCGCGACTTGAAGACTTCCAACGACCCAAACGCATATGGGTCGTGCAGCTTGAGCCCCAGTGCCCAAGTCTTGGCACGTCCTGCCAGATTTGACTGGGCAAATGCAACTTGCATATCCCCGTCGTCGATGCGACGCGCCCTTATGGCGTCATCCAATTCGACGAACCATCTCAAGAGGGAGTCTTCTTCGACCCCCTATACTTTGAGATGTCAATCTTCAAAGTCTCGGGCCGACGCGAGTGCATCGACCCGCCAGCAGCAGCCTGCTGCTGTCTCAACAGTTCAAACTGT